GCCAATTAAATGTTTCTCTTCCTAGCCAGCCTCTCTGCGGAGCACACAGGAAACACAAGTGCAGGGCACAAACATGATTTACCATCCACACGTCCATGTCCTGCCAACCAGCTGTGTGCAGCAAAAGCTTAACTCAGACACCAAGGGACACACTTGTAAAAACAATGTTTTAGCATCAGGATCATTTTCACTAGCATCATCATTTCCCCACCTCAGGTATTTCCATTGAAATATCACTTCCCTGAAATACCATTCAAACTGCATCCAAACCCAACCTAAAATTTCCCACAGAGAGCCAAAGACTAAAATATTGTCCACTCAGCATTTAACACACAATTTAAAAAAAATCATAAATATGATTAAAAGATTTTTCACAGACCTTCTGGAAAAAAAAATCAGAACAGTATCTCTCTACAGTCACCTTGCTATTTTCATTAATTTCACCCATGGTGCTCAGGTGAGACAACATATTACCTCAGCTCTTTAATCCTTCTGCTGAAAGTATTTTATTTTGAGGCTACAAGTAGAAGTTCATGGATCAGAGACTGAAACTCACAGATCTTATTTTCTAGGCCACTGGCTCTGGAATTACTCTTACCTGTAAGCTATTTTAGAAAAACCACAACCATTGCAAGAGGAATGCCAAAGGTTTCAAGAGGAGAGAGGTCAAATTCTGTGAATCTATTGACAAGGACAATGCATGAACAACAAATCACTGGTCTAACTTAACTAGGCATGAAGCAGATGAACATTTTAAGGGGCTGTACCAACCATTTAAACTGTTTTACAAGATGATTATGCCTCAAAAGTCTCAAAGGCTTAAAGGTAAGCAGCAATGACACTTTTCAATAGTTTTGAAAGGCACCAAGTTGAAGCTTATTATCCTTACTCCTGTTTAAGCACTTTAATCCCGAAATCTTACACCTTTGAAGCAATATTAGAAGAACCCTAACAATTTTACATAGGAGGAACACACCCAGACCACCTGAAATAACAAAAAAGTATGGAGTTCTTTTTTCAAAGATCTGTTTATGTTGGAATCTTGTGAAACATGATCAGAACATCCACTACATTCAGGAAATTACATAAAATATTTTCAATTTTTAAAGCTGTTCAGCCTAACACAGAAGCAAAAATACTTCCCTGGTCAGCATTTAAGCATGAACTGTACAAATAAATCAAGAATAACATCAGCCTAAAAACCCAGTTAAGAAAAAAAAAAAATAGCAGCAGCAGCACCTAAATCCTAGAGTTTCTTCGAATTAAGTTTTCTGTAACATTTTGTATAAGTAGCTGATTAAAGCAGCATGAAAATACATTCTTCCTAAATTAATTTGGGTTATATTACCCACTTTCCCTCCACCAAGAATGAAATTAAGTTTTCTGTAACATTCTCCTTCCTGAGAAGAACTTGGATATGAAACAGAGCCAAGGTCTGAAAGGCATTTGAGTTTAAAGTAGGTACAAGGAGGTTCCACACAGGTTATGTCAGCTGCAATGGGCTGGAACACTACAAAGAGCCAGCCAGAAACTCCAGTGTTCATCTGTGGATCAGTGCAGCAGCTTTGGCACTTAGCTCTATAAATATCCCTGCCCAGATTCTGCTGCTGAGGGCACCACAAGCTCTTGGCATGCACATTTGGCTTGGGACACCTCTGACAAACTGCTTACACAGAGTGGCAGAGCAGAAAGTGCTGGGTGGGCACAGGAACTCCCTTCTCCCAGTGCATAAACTTCGATATTGAGTGAAATAAATAATGCAGCAGAGGCATCATACTGTGCCCAGTCACAGCTGCAGCCTCACCTGCCATCCCATCCCCCTTTCATCTTTGTTTCCTGCATCTGGCATGGAAATGGTTTTGCAGTTTTGTTACCTTTCCAGCCAGCAATGCAAAGCACAGCACTGCGAGGATTGCTGTGGGGACATGAACTCCAGCTCAGCCAGACCCCCAACCCATCCTACAGATCTGCCACTGCCTCCCCCAGTGCACTGTGAGCTATGCCCAGCCTGGCACAGATATCCTAACAGAGAGAGAAATCCCTTCAGACCAGTGGAAATCAACCATTGCTATCAACCCTTTAAACCAGTTACTCTAGTGCCATGATTTTATCTTCTAAAATCTGAGAAGGAATGGGGTAAGTTATTTGCCACAACAGCATAAAATTATAGCCTTCTGTGGCACACAATCTGAAATTATGTTACAAGGCCAGCCCATTTTATAGTATAGTTGATACCTTGTTGGAAAAAATCCAAACTTTATTTCTCTTCTTTAGCAGAATCATTATGTGGATTGAACTTGGGCCAATATGTGCATTCAGCAGCTATCTTGCCTTAACCTTTTGCTGTAATTAATTAGGACAGAATTGTCTTTACAATGGTATGGATAAGCTATAGCAAGGGCCTCATTCTATTTAGGGGTTCTAAGCCCACTAGTTCATTTTATTTCACTACAAGCAAATAAATCCAAAAAGAAATACAAAGCCATGAACATACATGCAGATAATTATGTCAACACACCTTACTGGTGGCCACATTCAGAGAATCTGTTAGAGAAAACACTAAAATAGCATATGACTCTTCAACTAAATCAGAGTCCCAAGAAATCTCTGTAAACTAATACAAAATTAATCATTTGGATTACAATCAAACACTGTCCCTTTATCTTAAACACTCACAAGCTTCACACAGCTCACCTAATATCAGGGCAAAGGCAGAGCCACAATGACACCCAAGGAGGCTTCAGGCACCTGCTGCTTATTCCTCTTCAGCCCCCTTCAGTGCCCTGCTGTTGTGCAGGTGCCCCTGTGTGCCCTCTGCTCCCTGCAGGGTTGGGCAGCACCCCTGGGCACTCCATGGCTCCTCACCTTCAATAGCATTCACCTGTGCTGCACAGCTGCAGCCCATTAGGGATCAATTAGGGATTAATTAGGGATCAGCCCCACTCCCAATCACCACCAGCTGAGTACCTACAATTCCCCTCTTTATGTTTTCTCTTCAATAAATGCCATGTCAACCATTCCCCTAACAGGGCCCTTGCAGAAGAAATATCAGATATGACACAAATTTCTCTTGTGCAGGCTCCACTGACTCTGGAACGTGTTTTGACATTGATTCACTCCCCAAACTTGCATTTCATACCATCAAAAATTCTCATACCTACGCTTCTAGAACACCGACAGTATCAATACCTGTACAACTTCATAAAGCAAGACACAAGAAAAACAGTTCCAGAATCCCACCCACAGCCACACAATTTCATAAAGTATCACACAAGAATAACAGAATTCCATCCACAGGCACAAAATTCCATAAAGTAACACACAGGAATAACAGAACTACAGAATTCCATCCACAGCCACACAACTCCATGAAGTAACACACAAGAATAAGACAGAATCCACAAGCCCCCATCCTAAGAGCTGCAATTCCCAAGCACAACACACACTTCGACGTGCCGAAGATAATGTGCAGTGTTCTGTGTGCTTCTACTTAACAGACTCACAGTTTGATGTTTCATGTATTTTACAGATGCCAGACTTCTCCTAAATGCATACAGTAAAATTAAGACTTTGTGAAAGTCTAAATGCAAACACAAAGCAAATAATCTATCAGTGCAACTATAAGGTGTTGCAGTCTCGTTAGCATTTTCCACTATCTAGAAAGAACAGACACAGGCATACTGTATACACTGATTCACCCAAAGTAATGGTACAAGTATTGTATTAGGTATAAACTTGACATGAGATAGTTCAGTATTTTTTACAACTTGCTCTGAAGAAATTAAAATATAACATTAAGCCTAGAACTAGATCAATAGAAAACTTACATTCCAGAATATGACTTGGTGTGTTTTCTTACCAAATAAATTCATAAAAGTGCAATATACTTTTTAATACTGTAACTTTTTAAGGATAACAAGGTATTTCTCAAAGTGATTCAACTACAACATAAAAAATAAGTCTTTTTATTTCTGCTTTTTCCTTTTCACCATTAAAAACAGAATTGTTGAGATTGGGATGGATCTATTGAAATGGTCTAGTCCAACTCTGTTGTTCAATAGAGGACCAACTGGAAAAGGTTTCTCAGGGCTATGTCCAGTCAGGTTTTGAGTATATCCAAGAATGGAAACTCCACACCACTGGCCAATTTTTTCCAGCATTTGATGACTCTTCCTGTTAACATTTTTGTCTCACGTTTAAATGGAATTTCCTGTATTTTGATTTCCACTCCCCGCCTCTTCTCCTCTCGCTGGGCACTACTGAGAAGGGTCTGCTCTCTCTCTCCAGCCATCAGGGATTTTTACAGACCTTGCTCAGAGACAGTACTGGACCTTCTCTCCTTCATGCTGAACAGTCACAGCTCCCTCAGCTTCTGTCTGTCAGGTGCTACAATCCTTTCATCACCTTTGTGGCCCTTCACTGAGCTTCCTCCAGAATGTCAGTGTCAGTCTTTTCCTGGCACATTCCTGCCCAGGAATGGGCCCAGCACCCCAAGTGTGGTCTCACAGTTGTGGTACAGGGGACAGACTCTTCCCCTGCAGCCCAGGAGGCTGCTGGCTGCACTGGCCACATCCATCAGCTGTCCAGGGGACTGAGGTGAGGCTGACTGCTGGCCTGCACCCCTGCACACACCCCTGCTGAAGGCTGGCTTGACACTCGCTTCCTTCTAGCTCTCAGGAACCTCCCCTTATCACCAGACCTCTCAAAGACCACTGAGAGTATCCTTACAGTGACATGTGCCACTTCCTCAGCTTTCTCAGGTGCACCCACAGGTTCATGCATGTCATCACTGGCACCAAACCTCACACCCCTGACCAGCTCTCCCTGGTTTGTACATCAGGGCCAGCAAAGAGCCTGTATCCATTCCTGGCAGCACTCCAGCTATCCCACTGTATCTCTGCAATCACAGTGACATGATAACCCTGGAGCTGAGGCACGCCAATTCCTTCTGCATTAAGCCAAGAACTGTTTTAAAAATTGTTACAAATTAAAACATGTGGTTACAAATTAATTTATCTTTAAAATAACTTAGTGAATACTGTTGCCCAAAAGAATAACTACACATACAAAAGAACTCCTTTAACAACAAGAGAGGAAAGGAAGAAATAACCCTGTGCATTTTATTGGCATCAAGGTACACTCCCATTACAATTAATCTTCTCCTTTTTTTTAAACTAAAATGCAATATAGAAAAAAAAACATTTAAAGCCTGATTGGTCAACTAGCAGTAAACACAAAACCTGCTCACAAAAATGGGGAAAAAAAAGACACAAAGCAATCTGCACTGGACACGTAACTACACAGAAGGTCACATTTATGGTCCGATTTGGTCAAGATTGTAAGGACATTTCTTCTGGACTATAACTTCTTTCTGCACAGGGATCCAGTACAAGGGTTACTCCTGGGCTTAGAAATCACCACTGGTAAAGCTGCACGTGGCTGACAAGATACAGGTCTCTGACTCTTCTTCATGGTGAGAACTCTGTCTTCCTTTGGGGGAGGCACATGTACCGGCTTCCAAGGAATGGGGTTACAATATGCTGGAGCTGGATACAAATTTCTATCAGCACTCCCTGAAACATTTAGAAAATACACATAACTGAGAAGGAGTATTTCCACTACAAGCTTGCCAATGCAAGCAGTTATAATAATTATCTGGACTAAATACAACACATTTTCAGAGAAAGGCAGCACAGGCACATCACATATTTAAAGTGACCCAAAATGATAACCATTCCACCTTTTTGTTTTTTACACAGTCACTGGTATATTCTTCACCTCTACTGAAATAATAAGCAAGTTGAATGCTCAGTCCTTTGTGTTCTTAAAAACTGTCAATGTCTACAAATTTGCTACTTTGTTTTACCCAGCCACATGATGCCTACACTTCAAAGTTTGTAATACGTTACACTGAATGACACAAGTGCGTAAACAAATATTTTTCAAAAATCATTTAAATAAATGATTGCAGCTGTCAGTATATAATGCAGGTCCAACCAAAACAGGAAGGCAAGGTATATCACTATATACAAATAAATGTAAGCAGAAGAATAAAGGTTGTTCACCTGCTTTATACCTGTCTCTTAAACATTCAGAGATTCCTGTCTCTTAAACATTCAGAGATCAGAATTTTGGTCTCAAAACTATTTCTGTTGCAAAGTCAAACAGAAGCAATTATTTTAGTTGCACAGAAAAATGTTTTCAAACAAAAATGGACCAGGATTACAGAAGCCAAGGAGGTGCAGTGCAGGTGAAAAGCATAATTTTAACTCAGAACACAGATTGATGCTCCTGTCTCCTTTTTCAGACAGGACTTCTGCCAGCTTCTAACTGTTCTTGTGTCTCAAAACCCCACCTCTTTTCTAAGGGGCATTCAGATGTGCTGACACACATCTTCTGTAACACAAAAACTAACTTGAAAATGACATAAATAATGTGATTCACAGGACCCAGTACTTTGTTCTAGAGATTCCTATGCTTGGTAAGAAAAATCAGATGAAATCATCCTTTGGTATGCCACATAATTATCTCAGAAATGTCATTTTCCTCTCAAACTAAAAAAAAAAAAGGCTAAGAAAAAGACACAAAAGGTCTCAATCTGTTTCCCTGACTTATAGCATGAGTAACCATTCCTATGTGCCAAAACTAGGTATTAGATGAGTGTCTCAAACAGCTTTTATTTTACACTAAAATACTAGAAGGAAGGAACCACAAACCCCCATCACTCCATACTTGTACTGTACATACAAACCTGTAGACCTCCCATGTGGGAAACCATAACCATTTAAAGCAGGTTGTGGTTTATTTCTAGCATTTTGCAGCCATTCCTTAAAGATTTTCTCTGATCTTGTTCTCTTCTCCTGTAGCTCAGCCTCCCGTTCTTTTTCTTTTTCCTAGAAATAAAAAATAAAAGGTACTCCTAGACAAAGCCCTGTACAACATATACACAATAGTAAATAATTTTTTGCCCATTTCCAGATTGCTGAATACAACTCAAATATTGCTTCAAATACAAGCATCTTGTCCTAACAATGGAAAATATGCATTTTTTGGTTTAAGACTGAAAAAAACCCCAACCCCCAACCTCCATGTTACTCCAGTGTTTCCCTAAAAAAAATATCAAATGCTATTAACAAAAATGCACTAATATGCATCTTACTTTGCTGACCATACCACAGTGCCTTTAATGCACTAACACTGTAACTCCTGATTTTTCTTCATGTACAACACTGCCATTTGATGTCCATATATTCAATGCCAGATTTGAATATATCAAATCTGAATCTGCAAGAAGTTGCAGATTAAGTAACTCCATCCATATAAATGATCAGTTCATTAACACCTTCTCTTTTTTCTTCTTTTCTGCCTCTTCAGCTCTCTTCTTCTCTAACCATTCTTTATACTTTACGTCAGCCTTTTCTTTTAACTGCATTTTTTCTAGTTCCCTTGTGGCTTTTTCTGCCATTTCTTTGTTCAGTTTTCGTTTTCTTTCTCTTCTTTCCTATGTGAAACACATCAAAGAAATAGAACAGAATTTTTTTAGTATATTTCAGTGAGCAATTATTTTGAGGAATACAGTAAATTTTTTTACACTATTACAAAGAAAATTACCATAAACATGAAAAAATATATGATGCTATAAGCTTTTTGAAATCAGGACCTATTCACTGCTAGATTCCAGGTATGATAGACATATAAACTTGTCAAAAAAGACGATAAAAATTTTACTTTCAGATCTCCACAGGTTTACTGCTCTGTTTTATTTATTCAGAGATTTTTAAACACTTTAGACACATCTCAATATTTCTGGGAATGAAATACATATGTTGCAATTCTCAACAGTGATGTGTTAGCTTTACTTGTCAGTGAATCTAGAGCAAACTACAGTTCCAAATGCAAGTCGGGTAAACTGCCCCCTTCTAAGAGTCACCGAGATATGCAGATTGTTCAGCACAGTTCAGCATAAATTAAACAATAAAAAAAAGTCACATAAAAATACAGTTCATATTTTGTGGCATTCTCTTCGGTATTTATACCCTTCCATTTATTCACACAGGGACTACTTTAATAAATCAATCACACAATTCTCCTCTTCAAATTATGAAAAGGAAAATGAGAAAACACATTCTGGGGTAAGCAAAATGATAACTTGAGGGTAAAGTGAAATTGCTGCCTGTATGATTTGGAACAGAGAAACACCAGAGGCGTCACTCACTTCTACATCTTTTCAGTGTGTGTGTATCCAACAACAGTGTTCTGAGGATCCTGCTCTAAGCAACAACCACATATCTACTGGCCTTTGCTTGATCTGGAGAGGGAGGTGTTTTCATTTAAAGAGTGACAATAGCTCTCATTTCTGTTCCTTGTAACCTTTATGAAGTGTCTGGAATCTTTACCTAAGGGTTTATTGTATAAAAGACATGAAAATAAATATAGGAGAAAACTGAAAGAAAAAAAAAAGAAAAAAAAAAAGGGCTACTTCCATACTTAGGGGAATGGTTCCATAATGCAAAACCATTATAAGCAAAAAGTAGACTACAAATCTGTCTAAATACTACAAAAGCAAGGCAGGGAAGCTTCTTAACTTATCTATTTTAAATCACAATACTTAGATGAGTCTAGCTACTCTCTAGGCTGACTCAAAGTTAAATTAGGTCCTCTGTAAACAATAACATGCCACACACACTACCATGAAAGCCACGACTATTGCTAAGTTTTACTCCCAGTGAGACATCCCTAAGACAGGGGGACTCCCTGCAGAATTGCAGACTTTATACACTGCCTAGAAATTTTTCTGCAGACAAACCAGAAATGCTTCCTCTTTCTCTCACAATCAGAACAGATTTTCCTTCATATAGTTAGTGTAGACCATATCCCCAGCTTTAGTAACCCATCCTCATTATAGAAGTCTATAAAAAATGCTATGAATGTGCATATTAATGTCCATGTTCTTCACTGCTACTTTTCCTTTCCTTCCATGTATATGTGAATATTGTTTATGCTTGGTGTTGTTTAGATTTTTAAAATTCTCTTTGATCTTGTGTTCAAAACAGTCACAATCTATTCACTAAACCCCAGTAAATTTACCTACACTGCTATATGGTTGTGGTATTACCTAAATTAAGGTATTGATTGTAAAACATTCAATTAGTCACTGCAAGAAAGGCTTGTTCTCCTGCCACCCTGGCCAAGCACATGATCAAGGAGAAAGGATACAAATCTACCCTGAAGGTTCAGTGCTCTGTGCTGTGATTCTATCAGGTCTGAGAACGCAATGAAGCCTGGCTTAGGTGAGTCCTTGGAAATCCCCCAGCCCACACACATCCCCTGTTCCACAAAGCTGTGATGGTGACTCTGCCCACAGCAGGTGTCTTCTGCCGAAAAATCAGACCCACACAGATGTGGTGAATGGTCAAAGGATTTTAAAATTTGAAGTAGTGTCCTGACAGAAGGTAAGAACACTAAATAATTTTCCATGCAGGGAAAAAACCCCTAATTGCTTTTGAAACAGAGGCACTATATCCAGCTGGAAGAAAACTATAAGAATATGTATTTCTGTATTTTCACATCACTGAGCAATCGAGAGGCTGGAATGAGCAAAGTGCAGAGGTGCTTTCTGTTCTGCATTTTCTGTGTAGACTGTCCCTGAGTGGAAGCATTTCCAGAAACTAATATGTGATTGATATTTTTAAGATACTTCTCAAAGCAGTCCTTTCCATCTTATGATCTGCAGAATGTGACATGTTTCTTTTCACAGACAAGAGTTCTACTTCACAGCTGTTTGCTGACATCTTAGCTAGCATATTCTAGCATCAGTTAATGCTGACCAATGGCAAAATACAGGAAAAGCCCACATTGCCAACATCAGAACATACATCCTAATTTACTTGTTTATCCTCACAATAATTGTGGACATTAACTACTTCTGGCACTCTTGGAAATCAGGGACATTCAAACAGCTGTAATTATCTTTTCAACTTTGCTCCATAACACAACTCAGTGACCAGGCCTAGCCCACATGAATACTTCTCTAATCTCTCTAGAATTTCCATGTGAAAACAACAAGAGGCTACAAAGGAGATCAGCAACAGCCTGAGTTGAAAATGGCTCTTGACAAGCTGGTTTATACCAATTTACTGCTCAAGTTCACAGTCAGGGCAGACCCCACTGCAGCCTAGGAACTGGAGAATTACTGCATCTTTCTCCCAAACTGTGTTCATTTCATGTGGGGACTCGATGCATGTGACAAGCACAAAGATTTAGTGTACTTGTTCCTGGAACACTCCTGGGATCTTCAGAAGAATATGGACTCCATGAATGCTGCTGAAATAATTGACCACTCATTCACCTGTCACACTGAATTCCTCTTCCAAAATGCTGTCTAAAACTCATTCTAACATTCAACATGAGAAATTAGTTCATTCTACTTACAGCAATCTAAAGGAGATTAAGATTCAGGTACAACTTAAAATTATAACCATGGCATTGGTCATGCATGACACCACAGAAAAATTCTGTGTAAAGACCTTTCAGGTCCAGAGAGCAAAAGACCCACAATATGGGAAAAAAAAAATCTGTAAGAAATTAAGCCCAGACTCAGGAAAAAAAAAAAAATAGATATGTAAAGACAGACTTAGGTATGTAAACAAAATTTTAGTTCTTAAATGCAGTTGGTTCTCATGACTGGAAAGCATTTCTACTAGCAGCTTCCCTCACAAAAACACTTCTTGAAAGGCTTCAGTCTTAAATAAGTGGACATCTTAGCATCTCTTTCAAGTCTAAACTGTCAGCAAAAAGCATAGTACATCAGGCTCTCCATTAGCAACCAGTGTTTGACTCAACAACAGTTCAGCTGTAAGAATATTAACCCAGACAGGAAAGATCTGGATTTCATCACCTTTCTGCCAGAGGAGATTCCAATTAGCATGTCCCCAAGCTGCAGGCTGGCATGACAGGATTCCCCACCCATTCTGTGGAAGTGCTACTATTCCTCACAAAATCATTAACAACCCATTGGATGAAAGACAGAGAGCATGAGCAAGCACAGCTTTTGAACTTGAAAGTCATGCTCAAGCTGTGGAACAATCTGTGCTCTGTATTAACCATGCTGAGATAAAAGAGACATTAAACAAAAAGCCTTTGGTGTAAGAGTTGGCACCTAGGTGTCTCTTCTGGAGGAACCAGCACACCAAAAAGGGAAGGCTGCTCCAAGAACACTGTCATTCATTACTGCACACTGTGTTGGTTCTAGGCTTTCATACACTCCTTAATGCTTTTTGCTTCTCATAAAGACTACCAGCCAACAGCATAGTAAATGGAAAGAACAAAATTTTCAATGAAAAAACATTCCAACAGAACTTTTCCATCCTGTACCTAGTTTCCATTACAAATTATATTTTTCAGTAAGTAAAGGGGACTTATTGAAAAGAAAAGAACAATAAAAACTGTTGAACATCCAAATTCCATCTTTAATGCCTGCTTGGTAATATTTACTTTTATAGAAAAAAATTGTTGCCTTATTCTCTATTCAACAATGCAGAAAGTATTAGAAATGCTACAGTCAATTTTAGATTGGTATTAGAATAATTGTTTTTTCCAATGGAAAATTCTAACTTCACTACTTGTGCAGTTACAACTTTGCTAGGTATCACATTACTACAGAATAAAGAATTACATGCAAACATTAAATACAGGGATGTTAACAAAATGAGTTTCAGAATTGCAGTTATTTTGCAATGCAAGTATTCCTCTTTGGGGATTTCTGTCACTGTTGCAAACACATGCACAACACATGTACTGGGTTTTGGTTTGGATGGAGTTAATTTTCTTCATAGCAGCTCCTGCTGTGCTATGTTTGGATTTGAGAAAAAAATATTGTTTGTGATAACAAGTTACCACTAAGCAGTGCTGATAAAGCTTCAAGACCTTTTCTGCCTCTCACCCCATGCCAGCAGGGCACAGTTGGGGGGCACACGAGGAGCTGGGAGGGGGCACAGCCAGAACTGACAGCCCCCAGCCCAAGGGAAATCCCAGACCATCCTGCTCAGCAAGAAAAGCTGGGGGAGCAAGGGGGGCTCTCAGCTGCCTCCTGGGGCTAACCCACAACAATAATAATATAAACATTTATATGTACACTCACGTATATATATGAATTGCGTACTCCAGGTACTTCTAAGTTCATGCTCTATTGACATTGTAAAAATGCAGCAGCTTTGCAGAGCCAGTAAAGGTGGATTAAATATGATTTCAAGATACCATATTAGATTGTACAAGGTAGAGTGCACTGCATCAGAGCTGCTTTGTTTTTTTTTTAATATGCAATCAAAAACCTGTTGTCATCAGGCCTGAGCTTTAATGCTAATATTTTATTCAGCAATAATTCCTAAGAGGTTCTGACTGTGATGACAGCGATAAAGAATTAAACTGTCATGGCAGTTTACAGGCTCTCCACATTTTATGCATTCACAAGGCATTTCACAAAAGCTTTTCATACTTTGATTTGCAATCTGCAATTCCACAATTATAGGTACCTTACTGAAATTACCTTACTAAAGTGTTCAGTCCCACAGCTGATGACAGGAATGAAAGAGACTTCACATCACAAATTCACATAAAACAGGAACTCAATACCAAACTTACTTGCTCAGCATTTACAACCATAGCCACTTCATTTTATCACTAAAGCTATCAGTAACTCAGAAATAAACATTTTAGTTACATTAAAAAATCATGTTATGTTCATTTTCCTTCTGGAATCAAAAGCATGCTTAGCATTATTTTATATTTAAAATATTTCAATTGATACTTGCTAAAAAGTTAACAGACAATTTACTGTTTACCCACAAATGGCTCAACTTTAAGAGGGAGAGAAAGTAAGACTATTTTTGTCCAGGAGGGATTCAGTATCTTACTGAAAATTGTAAAGGCATTATCAGGTCCAAGATAGTTCCTAAAAATTGGTTTTATTAAGCTTTTAATTCCTAGTGAGCTGAAAAATGTTGCCATGAACAAATATTTCTATGAACATATTTCATGGCTTCAATGTTCTTTGACAGCTCGTATTTCAAAACACTACTTCTAGCTCATTTACCACCTTTAAGAACCACAAAAGCTATTTACATAGAGGAACACTAAATAGCTAGGATTCCTTTACTTTCAAAAATAGTTTCTGCAAAATATATAGAACCATAAGAAAACCACAACAGCATATATTTTTTAATCTATATTAAATAATAAAAAAAACCCCAGTAGTGAACAAAAACAGTGCTCAAGCTTTGCTTCCTAACCTCACCCTAAAGGAGTATATTTAGCAGTTAAAGAGAGCATCACAACTAAAACCGCCATGTAAGAATACTGGCTTGACATACAGAAAACCAGAATTCTCTTATGCATGTACAAACATTTTACTTCTCTCACAAGCATCTCTCACATTCCCAGGACAAAGACAGTTCCAGCAGTGTCTCCTGGTGCTGGATGCTCGAGATGAAGGAAGAAGTTTCATGTGTGCTCACGTGTGCCCTCTTTTCTTTATCACTACAGTACTGAGCAATGGGACAGGACACAGCCTTGTGGGAATTACAAAGGTAAGGCCCCTGAAAGTACTGCCACTTCCAAATAAAGCACTTTCTGCACACAGGGCTCAGAACCAATAACTGAGCTCCAAAAAGGTGAGTGCCTAATGCAAATTTCAGTTAAAAAATACTGCAAGCTTTGCCCCAAGAAGCATCTTTGGATACTTCTATGAGGAAAATAAGTGTTTTAAAAACAGGAGATATGTATACACTCCCCAAAAAAAGGATATCAAATGTCAGTGCTCACGACTATTACCTCAACTACAGGTGAAATCTTGATGCACCTTTAAACATCTTAGTCACTGATTTGACATACTTGTCCTTCAGTCTGTATCCAAATCCACAAATAATCTTGCAGAAACTTGAGGTGGGACAGTCTACACAGCACAAATGTTAATATCCTATGGACAGCTAGGCTTTTAAATTCAGTCCATCCTTGATTTGAGTGTGGTTTATAGAAAAGACTAGCCAATGAATCGTCTGATTTAAATGAAAATCAGCTTACTTTTTTCTAACCACTTGCTCTAAGGATGACCCTATGCTTCCAAAACATCATTTGATAAAGTCCAGACACAAGCATTTTTTTTCTCCTGTCTTCTGGGCTGGTGCAATTACCATAAAAATAACCTCCTAATCCCACTGACAACAGAATATAAATTGTTAACCACTAAATCCACAGAGTTCCAAGGAAAACACAAATAAGTAGAAATTTATGGAAGCTGAAGGAGGTGGTAGGGGGAGTGAGGAGGAGGCAGAAGGAAAACTCTGGTTTTGAACTAAAACTATTTTAAGAGGCAGACCAACTTCTTCAAGCCAATGAATAGTTACAGACAACCAGAATTTAATTTTCATTTCAATTTCATTTTGGAAGAGGAAAATGGAATTGTATATGCTGAAAAATAAATCTACTTTTACCTGTGTACTTTAATTAGTAATACAAGTAATATGAAATTAATAGAGCAGGATAGGTTCTGCAGAGGGTTTCTGCCGATTATCCAACCAGCACTGAGACTAAGATGAATTAGGTTAGATCCAAATATATGTTAGTCTACTGCATCTAGGCTGAATTTGAAGGAGTTCTAAATGTAGGAGGTCTGCCCATCCCACCCAGCTAGTGTTGCTGAGATATTCTGGGTAAATTTTCATCTGCTTTTGCTCAGAAGCAGAAGTGAATGCAGTGAGCAGCTGGTATTGCTGCAGACCACAGGACTGAACACACGAAGTGGACACGCCTTGGGCTCCCATTGCTGCCACCCAGGGCAAGTGCTCACCTGCTGTGACAGAGCTGTCACACAGCCCCACTGAGATCAGCACTGTTTCTCACCCTGGACCCAGGCACTCCCTCCTGGGGAGAACTCAAAAGGAAATTCCTTACTGGCTGTAGGAATTCCCAATTGCTAACTGTGTCTTCTGACAGTTCCCTCAATCTGGCCCCACACCTCAGTTACCCCTCCTAAACCACATCCTGTGGTAAATACTCCTTGCCTGCCCATGGTGATATTTAACTAAATCCTTCTTCTGGTTCTGCCTGGTGTACAAAACATTGCACACAGTCAAGATGTACACTTACCCAAAAATGTTTGGGCACTGAACCTGGGAATTCTGGGTGCACTGAAGACCAAAATCCCTGCTTTCACCAGCAGAAGGCTACTGCATAAGATGCACACCCATTGTCAATTATGTGACTACTCAGAAAACAAATCCCCTTGTACCCCACAGGAAAAAAAAAAATCAACCTTGAAAAAATGTTTAGCTGCTTTGGCATGTTCTTATAATTTTCAATTAAAGCAGCCATTTACTCAGCTAACTGAAAACATGGCAAACAGACTGAGTAAATTTTACACAGGCTTACTCAAGCATGCCATGTACTAGAATATTTCCAGTCAAAGCAATATTTACCTCTTCTCTCTTTTTTAAGACCCATTCCTTGTGTTTCTCTTCAGCTATCCTTTTTCTTCTTTCCCATTCTTGATTTTGTTTCATTTCCTCGAGTTGTTTATTCATTTCCTAAGTACAAAAAAGTATACATTTCAAATCTGTGGTGACCATTTACAGCAATACTGGCAGTAGTGCTGCAGTTAAAGCAATGTAAGCATTAGATTTTGGTATATTTTCCTTCATTAAGATTTTAGAGCAGAAGAATGGCAGTGAACACAGAAATGCTATGAAATACAATTAATGAAAATGTATAATTTTTAGGATATTAACTAAAAAACATATTTTAATTAGGCTTTGGAAGCAATTAAATGCATCAAATAATTCCTCAGCTTACTGAAATGCCTTTTTAGTCAGCAGACTCTTAATTTGCAGCAGTACTTTCCTACAATATTTAAAATTTACACTGTGTACTGCTCTGCACTGTGAATGGTATGAAAAGCTAAGTGAGGTATTATTCACCTGTGATTTTTAGTACCAGAACTATTAGAACTTTAGGGCTTAACACAAGGCTTACTAAAGCCAAAATTATTGCAGATTCTAGCAAATTTTCAAACAGGAGTTTTAATTGGAAGGTGAGAAGAAATTTTCCAAGTATATTTATATAACATACAGTACATATGCAACCCCATTTGTATCTCTCCAGTGAAGTTAATAAAGAAAAAAAACTAAGGAGACAATTTGAGGTGTCCATCTTCTCCAAAAGTAACATTAACACAAAGTATTAATTTTCAATGAAAATTTATACCTTCGAACACAGATGGAATTATTTCCATGAAACTGATTTTTTGGTCCCTACACTGCAGTCAGTTTCAGAGAGAACCCCTTTCTTATGACACAGAATCTCAGTTCAGTAGGACATCAGTAGAAGCTTACAGAAAGCTCAAACACTCACAATACAGACATAGTTTGAAAATACAGTTGTTGCTGCATTGAGGCAAAGTTACCCCAAGTAACATCTCTCTTGAGTTCCAAGACACCTGTAGTGCAGGGATCCTGGTTTCTGTAGAAGTTTAGAACACTTTTATAATGCAAACAGAGCAACATTTTTTGGTATAAATATCACATATCTCATTCTCTTCTGGCATCCTACAAAAATGTTGATTATATTTTTCTCCCAAATATAAGGTTTTCGCTCTGTCTTGCTGCAGTTTAACATCTAATGTTTTCAAAATCTTACAAACTGTATGACTATTTTCTACATGGCCTTAAGCAATGCTTGTTCTACAACTGTTCTTAATACTTAGTTGAGAGACATCAGCCAGTTTACATTTACATTACCAATCCAGAATACAAATGGGAAGTCATGGAACATTTGGTGGACGTGGATTAAAGGATCAAAGCATATTCCTCAAGTTTAGCAAACTACTTTGGTGTACTGCTGACCTGTAAAATTCTGTTCCTGAGCCTTCCAGTGGTAGGTGTTTTATACACAACATGAGGTAGCCCACATAAACCTTTACAGATAATCCCAGAAAGGCCAGGAAAACATTCAAGGTCAAGCAGTTAATCAGTAACTAAAGTGAGAAATTATCTAATTTTGATGTGATTGCTCTAATCACTACGCAATACTTCCCATTTGATGTTCAACAATGGTGTAATTTAACCAACTGCAACTACAAACAGAGTAATCAGGAAAAGATAGGGTGCTCTCACTTAATTGAGAACCAGCCCTGGTTCTCAAGAACTACTCATCTGCAAGGGGCAAAAAGAAAGAATAAGGAAAAAAAATGCTGTAGTGGGGATCCCTTTCCTGGGAAAGGACACCAAACAGCTGTAAAATTATGTGCTAAGCAGGTAACAACATTGTTCCTCAGAACCAGCAGTGTAGCTTGGCACACTTAGAACCAGCACACATCCCATCTTCTTCTACAACCTACATGTAGGCCTATGCACCCATGATGAAAATCAAGGCAGTAATTACATAAATGTTTTAATCTTCTAACATCAAACCATGACCTGACAGATAAAAAAATATTATACAGCACCAGTTCAATGAAGCGTAACACGCAGCAAAAGAAAATGCACATAACATGAATCACACCAGCACTGACAAACACCAACTCTATGGAGGCCTAAAGCACTAAAAAAACAACTACTCATGTTTCTACAACCAAGGAAAAGAAAATCCTGTGTCTGCTCTCTTCTATTAGACTCAGAATCAGAAAAGCTGGATGTGGTCACCTCTGCAGCTCTGGCCTGTAAGCGGGCACGCAGCTCCTTCTCTTTGCCAATGAACCACTCTTCCCATGGTGAAAGGTTATCTTTCAAAGGTGACACTTTTCTCCCCACTGCTGTTTCAGAGTGTTCAGCCCTCCTGAATTAGAAAAAAGAAATGAAGAGAGTATTATCTATAATGTATTTCACTGAAAAGTTAGTGTTATTGTCTTGAAAAAGTACTTTTCTTTCATGGCATAATGTGACAACAATGATATAAGCTTTCTACTTGTTTACTAATCTCCCTAATGGATAAATGGCATTTATAATACACTCTGACCATCCCCCTCACAGTCTGCATTTTACTTACTAAATTCTAGCTTGTTAGTGATTTAGACTGTGGAACAGATTGGAACACTACCTTTTAGGAACTAAACTGAAAGAATACCTGTAACATCAGTGTCCCTTTGCTTCTCACAGATGGAAGCCAAGAAAGAACAGAGATTTAACATTAACATACTGTCTGTAGTCACAAGAAGCTCCTTGTAGCCAGTGGTCTTCAGCAAAAGCAAAGCAAAAGCAGACAATGTTATTTTCTTTGTTCAAGCCTTACACAGATGGATTCATGGTACCAAGAAACCTCAGCACTAAGAGTCTATTCATTACAAATCCATCTGTTCAATCCAGGAAGTTTTCCATCTTAAAACACTTTCACAGCAAATGTGCTGAAGAAATACAGCCAGCATCAACACTTGATGGTATTATACAAGGTTCTATTAGATGTTTAATAGGATATCTTACCTAAGTCACTCATAACTTCTTTACTCATGAATATTGCAGCAATCCTAGCCCCAGGTCACAAATATCTTATACAATATTCCATACATGTACTATTTCCTAAGTAACACAGTGCATTAGCGTCCAAGTCAGCTAAATCTGAAAACAGGTAAAGAGATTTCTTTAAAAGATTTGTTTCTGTCTGCCACAGAAGTTTTTCTTGAGAACAAAGCAATGAAACTAGACTTCACTATTTCCTATGGACGTTCAGGCTCTGGAAATACCTACCTACATATATACTGCACTACAGTGAGGAATTCTCTTTGCTGAACCTAAGATACAGAAGAAGCACCCAACAAGCATATTATCCTAATGCTCCAGAAATCAAATTTTTAAATGTAAGACATCTGTATTTTATCAATACAAAAGTACAACATATTCAGGACACAGCAGTACTCCAACACTCAACTGCACAACATTTTCTGTCCCAGTCATCTTTAGAACACATTTCTGTGCTAGAAAGCATTTGGGGACAAAGTCAGTGTTACAGTTTTGTCCTACTCTTCCCTGTTGTTTTACCCATGTGTGTTTGCACTAACAGGACTTTGCTGGTCAGGTCAGGGTAACTGACTCGCACTGAAACCTACCTGGAGCAGGTTTATTTCCCCAGACAAACCCACTTCTACGGTGTGAAATGCAGAGTGACAGAACTGACAGGGACACCCTGACACACAGACAATGCAAGGTCAGAAGCAGCACAGACCAAACACACCAGTCCAGCACAGCCACACACATCTAGGGCTTTTATGCTACAGCATTAATAAAGACCAAAATTTTAACAAAGACAGCTTTTAAACACATACATATGGTAAGAGATGCCACTTAAGAATGCCTAATTATATATTTTATAAGAAAATAAGTCTCTGAAAGTTCATTAAAGGACAAAAGTATTATACATTCACATTCAGGAAAAAAAACCCATAACTTTGTACAGATTTGACATTTTGGGCAGGGATACTTCCTCAATACATTCATTTGCTTTGCATGATTTGCATTATGGCACCTAGTGGAACACAGCTGACAAATTAAACCAACCTGGAACAAGTACTAGGAGAATGAATAAATTAGGAAAAATAGTATTTATTATGTATTTTCTTCTATCAGTACTCATGAAATTCAAGATGTCAATTTATATAAAAAAAAAATTCATAGTAATAGATTGAAAACTTACTGCAGATGAGTAAAAAATAACACAAAATGAAGCTTAAACAGGAAAACACAAGCTCAGTACAAAGACCTGTGAGGAGACACACTTATCCAATACTGTGTCTAAAGCTCTCCAATTGCACCAGAACCCCGTCTTCCCTGGTGTGCATTCCAGCCACCAGTCACACTCTCCTGGCACACCAACCATGCATTTTAAACCACTCACACCTTGAATTTCACAGGACCATTTTCTGAAATTCTAGCAGCTATGAACTTCCTCAAAATAATTAAAGTAATAGATTTCTTAAAATAGCCTATTCTCACATGCACATTTAATTCTAAGTAAGTATCTTAAATCAAAGGAGAGACATTTGGCATTAGACCCAAGTGTGATTAATAGTGAGCAGTGATTATCGTTTGTTGTATATTCACGAAGGCGACACATCAAACATAACATTGGATCCACAACGAAAACATGAAAATGCCTAACAGCATTAACAAGGCCTTGCTCCCACCCCTTCTCTTTTGCAAATATTGCATTTCCCACAGCACAGCTGCCTCCAATTCTTGTGTACTTTTAAGAGGACAACAACAACAATACTCAGAGTGCATGGCGGGGCTACATAAGAAATGGTTTTTACTATCGTACTTCTGAGATCCTGGCAGCCACACACAGAAGCTGCTATTTGAACACAAGGTGGGCACTCAGTGAGACACAGCAGCAGTGCCCATACCAGCACAGTGTATTTAGCCCACGGTTTAACAGGACTGCCAGCTCACACCCTAGAAGAGGCTGTCTTCAGCTGCACCTCACTGTGCCAGAGAACACCGCAGCAACAGGCCCGACTTGGGAGCTGCTTCCAACAGCCTCTGAAGCTCAAAGACGTGATGTAGCATGAAGAAACTGCAACACAACTCCAAGGGGCATGAACAAAACTGCTCACTGGGAAGTAGCATACAGAGAGCTAACAGGAAAACGGAAAGAAGGGACCATGAACTAGCTGATCTCTTCACTCCAAAGCCTCTGGCTACGCTTGAACACTCCTCCCCTGGACTTTCAGCACTTTGTTCAAGAAATGCTTTTAAGTAAAGTGTAGTATGGTCCATGTTCCTTCACCGCTCTCCATGGAAACCTGCACCCCGTGAAGCTCTGCTGACCTTCCTTCACTTCACCGGGCACTTTTAGACTTTCCAAGATACTCAAAAAAAAACCAAAAAAAAAACAAAAAACCACCAAAAAAGAACAAGGCACTTAAGGCGCTCGTCGCTCATCCCTGCAAACAAGGCTATATTTATGTAAAATAATCTTCTGCCTCCGGCAGAGGGAAGCGAGTGCAAGGCAGCCCTGAGCCCCCTGGAGCCCGGTCCCTGCCGCAGGGGTTACCTATGGCCCGGCGGGCTCCGGGAGCCTCCGGGAGCCTCCGCCCGCTCCTGCTCCGGCTCCTCACGGCCCGGGGAGCTGCAGCGGGACGCGAGCGACAGCGGCGAGCCCTCCGACGGGCTGGGGGGCGGCTCGCCCTCAGCGGGCGGCGGGCTCGGGCGGCTGGCCCCGCCGCTCATGGCGGGGGCGCGGCGGGGGCGGGGCCCGGTGCCGCGGAGGGCCCATGGCCCCGCCGGGCCCGGGCTTGCTGCGGCCGGGGCCGGGCACGGCCTGGGGCAGACACCGGGCAAAGACCGGGTGACACCGGCGGCCCCGAGCCTCTGGTGAGCGCTGAGCCGAGGCTCCCTGCGGTGGGATCTGCCTGCCTGGCACCGCCAGGGCGAGCCCTGACACGCCTGTGCCGATCTATAGCGACTGCTCGCAGTTCTTTATTGCTGAACGTTTCTGCACAAGTAGCCGCGCAATAAACAGGAACCGGTAACCTTATCTGCAGGTGACAGTCCCGACGCATCAGAAGAAGGCATCTCAACATTCAAACAGCCAAGTCAAAATTCGTAATCTATACTGGCATTGAATTGCAAAACCCCATTTCAGTACTCAGAGTTACCATCTTGTTTCTGATTCACAGTTCTAAAGCTTGGTTTTCATACACCTCTGCTAGGAAAACTGTGTCCATTGCCCTCTCCATCAGTTGATTTTCCACCGAGTCTACAACTATCTGTAATAAATAGGTCAGATTATATATCTATATAGATATTTCTATCCCTGTTTGCCACTGCATTCTTTGTCAGCCTTCTATTTGGGTTCCAAATTCTGGGAACGTGGTCCCCTTCATTGCTTATGCTGGGCCACCCTTACCACCTCTCCCCCCACCTTTTAGCCAAATCTTAGGCAGGATCAGCAGCAATAAACATTTGCACAACCAAAGCTTTCCATTACCTTCGAATTTCATCAACCAAGGAGATAACTGCTGATCAGCAGTTGATAAATTTTTATAAAACTTTGACTGATTTTGCTGTGGCTGACTAAGCAGAAGCATTACTGATATTAACATGAGATATAGAAGTTTGAAAATTAGTGTAAATTTGGCTGCTGTATTAATTGTTCTTGTGGAGATTCTTCACGTAAGTTTAACAAGAAATGTATTTTTAATTGGATAGGCAAGTTGAAAAATGGGAAACAGCATTAGAAATGCTTCTGTCAATCAGGAAAATCAGTTGTGACATCTGAGGCAATTGACTTGACGTAACAATTGAATTTCAGTAGCTGAGTGATACAAAAAGGTCATCAAATCTACACAACCATTATGTGCACCTAGACACCAGCAAAAATAATGCTCCGAGGGAGGAAACATCTCAACACCATCATTAACAGTCCTAAAAGATGCCCAAAATGATTGTATTTGAAGATTTTAAGTGGGGATGTTTGGTGCTTGGGCTGCAGACTGACAGGCACCCAAATCCGTAATTTCTCTGACAAACAGGCTGCATCTCTCCTGTCTCTCAGGAGCATGTACTTCTCCCTCTCTCTTGCTCTTTGGACCCTTCATTGACACACAAAACCTTACTAAAGAAAAATATTCACCCAAACAACTTGTGGTCTGAGCAAGCTGAAGCTCAGGGTGCCTCAGACAACTGCTGAGGCCAAAGCCAGGCAAGCAACAGGAACACAGCCACAGACTCAGAGGCAGAGGTGGCAGGGATTTGGGATGTCCCCCTTCAGTGGTGGAGCTTCTGCATTTGGCTTACCATTTCACAAGGAACTGCACTTTTGACAGGCTGGAGAAATAACATGATGGCTCCTGTAAGAAAAGAACACATGTTATTGCATTGCTGATCACCAAATAATAATACAGAATTGTTTTCCAGCAAGCTGAAAAACACAAAAAGGACCTGAATACATCTCTCATCTAAGCACCCCCAGAACACTGAATACATCACTATGCACCAAATTGATGCTCATGATGCTTCAATAACTCCATCCAATTGTGGTAGATTGTTGATTGTTATGCTATGATTATCATAAAATAAAGAATCAAGTGTGATTTGCCATAGTATCTCACAAACAAATTATACCTGTTGAAATAATTTGATGATTCAAATACTGCAGACAACAGAGTATCACTAGAATCTAAATTTCAGGCCGAGTAAAGTTACAACAAGAAGAAAATTTGAAACTGGTCTGAATTCTTAAGATACAAGTTACACAATCCAATGCCTTAGCTTTGTTCAACACAAACCACCTATGGTTTTACAGGCATTTTTGTATACATGCTGCACTCAGCTGAGAAATAAAAGCACCATAAAAGTTGTTCACTCCATGGCTACCCAGGCACCGTGAGCAAATATCCATGTCATGGCAAGCAGCAAAGCCTCAGGTATTTCAACAGGCTGCAGACCAAAGTAATTTCAAAACATCTCAGCAAGGCTTGAAAACCTTGCCTGGCCTTAAAGCCCATCTCACAGTGTAGAGTGGCAACAATCATAAATTAATAGGAAAAATGAAAAGTCCCGGGTTGTCTCGGTGAATTGAGGAATTCTGGAACTTGCTGCACTGAGCATCTCTCACTTCTCATGGAGGCCCACATCACCAGGAATGGCCAGAAACTGGGAAATGGATGTCTCAAGGCGAGGCAGCAGCAACTTTGCCAAACATAAACATTTGAGCTTGTCTAGTCCCTTCCTATCCTGTTGTACCGAATATGATAATTTCTCAGGATGCCAGAGCAATATTGGGCAAACAGCTTATCTTAACAAACCTTAGCACTGGGACAAGCTAGAGGAGTTTATGCATGAAGACTGCCCATAGGGAGGGTGGCAAAAACCAGGTGACCCTTTGGGAAATTAAAGCATTGTTGCTGGAATGGCAGAAGCACTCCAGCTCTGAAGAGATGTGAAAACATAATATTGTTACTATCTTGCTTACCATTGTGCCCAACTTGTCAAACCAGCTCCACAGCCACTGTGCCCTAGTTAACACAGGAAAGGTATGAGCCCAAATAATGTAATTTTGTTAAAAAACATTGAAACAACAATCCTGCAGGTTCAGTACACAACTTCTATGGCCACAGAAGGACTGATAAGATAAATAGCATGCTGCAAGGATGCAAAACCTTAATTCTGTGAACTGAATGCTAGAAGCAGCTGCCCTGGCAAGAATTACATGCGAACACTGCTAAGACCCATAGGCAAAATCAAACTGCCACAATGAAGAACAGAAGTTGCCACAAACAACTGAATGAATTGAATAAATACACACACGCCTACAGTTGATACCAATGTTAAAATCATCCCAATTTCTCACTAAAGAAACTACCAAAACTACATTCAGTCTTTCAGTGCTAGCTCACTGTCACAGCCTATAGAATAAGCACTTAGAGCTATCTAGCAACAGCGAGAAAATTCAGAGTGCAACTAGCAAGATGTGTTCACAGACCCATACTTTGTCTGCATGCTCATGCCAATCAGCATGTCTGAACAACCAAATGCTCGTCACAAATTTCTCAGAAGTATTCCCCAAAAGCCACCCGCAGTATTTAAAAAAAACCATTTTACTCAATATCAAGAAAGCAATTCCTTAGATAAAAGACATAGAAAAGGTCTATATTCTAGACACAAATCAACTACTCTGAATCACTACGCACCTTGACTTGCCAACTCTTGTTTCTGAAATCATTCAGTTTTAGAAATTCAACTGTAATCTGATGAACTCAGTCTCTGAAAAGACAAGAGCCAGCAGAAGGGAACTTCTCAGTTCAACTTGATGAACACTAGCCAGGTTTAATGAAAAGAATGAGATCAGATTGCTTGTACATGTCATGTCTAATTCCCCACTAGATATTAAGGAACACAGAGGCATAAAAATAATGAAAACTGAAGAAAATACTAAATGTATGGAGAAAAAGAGGCTTAGACATCAAGCTTTAGGCTTGAAAAAAAGACTATTTTACTTGCAACCTCGAAAAAAGTAGAAAATTTGAACCAAATATAGTTGAATTCAGGTGTCCTTAAGTCTTCAGATTTTCCAGCATAAGGAAAAACACTGTGGCAGGCACAGGAGCAAGGGAGAAAGCTACTTGGCTCACCCTCCATGTCAGAGCTCAAGGAACACTGCCTGTACTTGTCTGCTGGCTATTTTTGTGCCTGGATGTGTAGTTCTGCTTGATTAGAGGCTGTGAAACCCGAGAGGTCCTGGATTGCCTCACTTTCCTCCATGGTATGATGTATTCTCATCCTTGCAGTGCACTGTACACACCGCCAGTCCCAGCCCAGGTTCTGCTGCCTGCAGATGTGGAAGCCTCTGCTTTAAAGGGACAGAGCCTCCAGATGGGAATTCCTCTTGTCTGGGGGAATGTGCAAGAGCTCTATGCAACACATTTAGGTTAAAATCATATCTTTGTCAATCACTAGCAGTATTCCCATTGAACCCAGCTGTTTTATGCTAGCTGGAGACCACAGCCCTCCTGCTTTTTAACAGCCTTCACTTCTTTAGCTACTTTATAGTTCTCCATAAAGTCTCTCTTTTAAAAAGCATCAGTTGCTAATAGATTCATTTTTGGGATGGAATTTTCAGAACATAGGTTATGCTTTTGTTACTGGAAACCAGTGAGGCACTTCGTATTTTGTTACCCTCAAATCAAAATTGGCTCCCTATAGCAAACACCACAGTGGCCACTAACTAGTATTTCTTAGGGAAAACCTACACTGTTACTTTGTACTGGAGTAGTGCCAAAAGTGCAAGGTATGAAATATGTCCATTCACCTTCCAAGTTCTTATAGTACACAACAGTACAGAAAACAGCAATCTGTACAGTGATATATTATCCCATTGCAGAATCCATTTCCTTACTTACTGAATCATCTTCAACTAAACCTTAGTGTTAAATCAGACTCTACTGTACAATATGTGAAAGGTAATATTGAAAAAACTCCGGCTAAGAATATTAACTTATGCTAACACTAAAAGATCAAAAGCATTTGTGTAATTAAAAATTATTGAGAGCACATATAAAACAAACTGTGCATTGTGCTTTTAATTAAAAATATTACCCTGTAAATTGAAACTGAAGGCTTAAAAATAGTAATCAAAGTGAAAAGAATTACTGAAGTATCTTTGTGTAAGTTTGAAATTTCTGAGTAAATTCACAAATAAACAGGAAATTCTACAGGAAATACAGCTAAAAAAGGCAAAAGGCAGCTAGATCAAAAAGTTGCAAAGCAGATGCATTATTTTTATAAGAGAATGAAAAAGCTCAATTTCAAACAAAGAGCTCTCACCAGCATATTGCCACAGAGCAGGCTAATAGCCATCTCTAAGAAATTGCTCATAATGGGGGAAAAATAAGGAATACATTTGGCAATTTAATTTGTGACCATCTCCCTGCAAAAAGTTGCTTCCTCCCAACAGCATAAGACAAGGAAGAAAAACAACAACAAAATGTTCTCCTTGCCCTGTGTTTTTCGTTTAAAGTCAACAGCAAAGCCTGTTTGACTGCTAAATCCAGCACTGGAGCTCAGTATAGCAGCTGTAGAGGTCCAGAGACAAGATATGTGACACTGCAACTGTAAGAACAGTTTCAGCTAGCTTTAGACTCTAGAAAACCAGAGGAGGCATTTTCTGTGGGCACCCCAGAAGGGTGCAACTTGAGGTTTGACTTGTTTTAGTCTGAAAACTGAAATTAGGAAGCTTTACCCACCTGATGAGACTACTGAGGTGACAGCTCAGAAAGCCACTGGTACACAGGTAACAAAAATCCCACACGTTGTTAACACAGAACAGCTTTAAGGCAAGCTGTCCCCATGTATTTGACATTGCTTTTGGAGCAGCAGCAAGTGGATGAGAACACCTGAACACTGCACTGTGCCCTGGCCTGAGATCAGCCTGACCAGCGAAGGCACAAAGGAAGTTGGCATTTGTTACCTGCATCTGTCTGGATTCTCCTGTGGCCATCCTCCACGGTCAGGTTGAGAGAGGCACGTTTGCAGCACTGCTGCTGAACAGGCTGGCTCCAGGAGCTGCTGCTCATACTCCTTCCCCTCCACCAGTGTGTGCTGCAAGGCACTGGGCTGACTGCATTGAAGAGTTAATTGCTAGGATAACTGAACTCCAAAAACATCCTGAGATGCAGTGAAATACCAGAGCTTCAAATGGATCACATCTCCTTTGTACACAGCACGGCAGCAAAGGCTCACTTGTAGAACAGAAGAAATAAATCCGTACATAAGAACACTAAAAACACCACAGGCTTTCTGGAAGCTTTGTGCCAGGATTCCCTTCCCCACTGATTATAAATAGCAGCTGACATTTACAGTCTTTCCTGAGAAGCATTCTTATTACCTTTGACAGGTTGGCCAACAGAGGGAACGTGGGACAAACTGTGACTCTTTTACAGTGATGGCTTAAAAAACGCCAGTTTTCAACATTACACAGTATAAATATAAAAATCATAATCTGTATGATTATTCAAAACATACTAAAAACATTTCCACTCAAACAAAATACAAAATACCTTTAATCAAGAGATTGCTTCATAAGAGGGCTAACACTTCACTTAAGGTTTTTAACCTTTTGCAAGGCAACAGTCAGCATTATTCTGAAATCATAAACCCACTGGTAAACTGGCAACTTTGTTGTTTTCCCAGCAGTTCTTTCCTGAAACTTTCACATCTGCTTCACAAGAGCAGAGGAGACGTAATTTATACTCAACAATTTTACATGTGCACTGTTTTCAGCTTTAACTTTTGAAAAACAGAGATAAATAACCATAGGTATTCATGTACCCTTTATTTGCTTTCAGTGTAACATTCCATGCTAATTGCAGATGTAATATTCATGAGTGTAAATGTAAGAATTAAAAACTCTTGGATGGTTTTCTTCCCTTTTTACACTTGAATGTTTTGGCTTACAAAATTAACAGCATACAGTAAATATTCCTCCCATACTTTGTACAAACTACATGATTTTGATATACAAGGATCCTGTTTTTATTATAGTGACAATATACAACCACATCTATTTACAAGGAAAAAAGTACATAAACCACATTTTAAACATTCTGCTACTGGCAGCCACTATTGTTTAGGAGGTAGCTTTAATTAACAAAATGAACTGAAGCCACATTTCCCATCATGGGTTCTATCAAATAACTTACAATACAAAGATAAAAATTCATTGTATGAACAGTATGTACAGTTTAATTCTCAAAACAGCAATCTAGCTTTAGATCTTAACAAGAATTTCTCCAGAGTAACTGGGATGGCAGTGGATTTATTCTTGATCTAGTGTATCGTCCAAAAACATTACATAATTACTTAATCATGCATTATTAAATTGTATTGATCATACTTCAAACAAAATAGAAAAAAGTGATCACTGGTTGTACTTAAATAATTTGGGTCTCAGAAGTTTAATGCTTTAAAAAGATTGCACTGATTTAGGTGAAAATCAGTGACTTTGCACAGTGTACTTCACTGTCAGTAAAGTAATTGGAAAAATACTTTCTTTTTCAGTGCCAAATTGCGTTGCATTTTCTCTCCCTTTCCTGAAGTCTCACTCTATCATTCCTGGAGTGCTGTGACACTGAGCAGGCTGCAGAGCACTGGCCAGCCTGGATGGCACAGACACAAGCTGTGCACAGGGCCAGTCTGCTGTCACCCCACAGTCTTGCCAAGGCTGTGACTCGACTCCTAATACTGAACAAACTTGCTGTGGTTCACCTGAAGTGATGCGCCATCACTGGAAAAATGTGTTTAACCCTACTGCTCCTGACAGCTGTTAATATTCTTATTCCAATAAATCTACACAGTACTGGATTACAAGTACTTTACTGCAACAAACTTTTTAAAAAAATTGAACATGAGCTAAAATACAAAACAAACACAGTATTCTGATATTGCTGTCACAGTTACATATGGGAGAATTAATCCCTTTTTTGGCCCTGCAATAAAATGCATCCTGAGATTCAATGCTGAATATAATATACAAAGCTAGCAATAGATTTTTTTGCTTAATTATAGAAAAGTCACATTTAAAAATAATTTCTATAGTATTAAACAGCTGTCCTTTATATTGTGCTTTCTCAGGGGGAAAGAAAAAAATCACCAGAACTTACCTCACCACCAGAAGAAGCAAAGTACAACTGCAATATGATGTGGAAACACTCCATTAGCATGTAAAAACTGTATAAAAGAAACATCTATTGTGTGAAAAGAGTAAAAATATTGGGTAACAATTTTGGTTTACCAATTATTTACAGTCAGGGCAATTGATTTATTTAATTTTTTTTTAAATGTATGGCTCAAGAAGTTACCGCCCACTTCCCTTCTTTACAAATGACACTAAATAACAATTACAAAAGTGCTTCCTGCTCGAAAGGTCAAAGCAGGCGACAGTCTGCGAAACACGATACCTCTTTATTGGAACAGCTGAGGGCAGAAAGCCTCCTCAGTCTTTGATTCTCGGTATGTTGTAGGCGTAACGCACCAGGGGAAAGCCCCTGCTTTGGTAGAAGCAGGCACGGCCGCAGGCCTGCACTTGGTCCGAGCTGTCCGACACGAAGGAGTCGTCCTCGTCCACGTAGTCCGAGTGGGCGGATGGCGTGCCGCAGTCTGACCAGGAGCCATCCGGCCTCGGGCACGGCACCACCGCCAGCGCGGGGCAGCTGTGGGACTTCATCAAATGTTTACAGGGCACGGGCTTGGACAGCAGGAGCGACTCGCAGCATTCACACAGAGCCACGTTACCGCCCTGCAAGTGGGAGTAGATGCCGCAGTCGTAGTACAAGTCCTGCGCCGCGTCCCCTTGCGCACCGGCAGCCATCGCCACTGCCCCGCTCCTCCTGCTCAGGTGGCGCCTCAGCAGCTTCCAGTCCTCCTTGAACTTCGGGTTGAAGAACACGTACAGGACTGGGTTCAGGCAAGCAGGCAACGGGAAAAATATCAAAGTGACAGACTTCATGATTTCAGGGCTGATAGAAATGGCCGTGATCAGCGGTGCAAAGGAGAAGAATGCAACAGGACAGAAGAAGATGCAGTTGGTGAAGATCAGCCAAGCGACATGCTTAATCGTGCTGGACTGGGAGTTCTCGGAGAGATCCTCCTTCTCCAAGTTGCAATAGAGCTTAGTGTAGATGACAGCCATCAGCAAAAACGCTAGTGAATTCAGCAGCACCAGAGTTACTGTGAAACCTAACAAAGGTGTTTCTCCGGTGGGGAAGGGCAAGCAAAGGGGTGATGCTGAGTACTCTGCTTTATAAAAAAGTGGCAAGCAGCCCGCTACCAGAGCGCACAGGAAAGCAAAAAATGCTGCAATTTGAAATTGTTTTTGGCGATTGCTTTTCCCCTTTTTAATAAATTCCTTGGCAGACAAGCTCCGTTCAACAGCTGCCAACATCAGGAAAAAAATGGCACTTTCTGATGAAAAAACTGCAAGAAACCCAGCAATTCTGCAACCACTGCCAGTCTCCCACCATATGCCAAATTCAGCAAATCTTCCCCAAGATACAGCATCCAAGAAAGTTAAAATACCGGTATAGACTCCCATAAATAAGTTAGAGACAGAAATCAGGCTTATAAACAGTTTGGAAGATGGCAATGTAGTACAGGATGCAAATATTGTTAACAAGACAAGCAGGTTGAAGAACAAAGCAACCAAAAAAATAAACCAGACAGTAAGGCGAATCATCCAGCTGCCCAATAAATATTCACAAGGCTTAAAAGCACCTAGAAGAAAACAAAAAACAAACAGAAGGACAACCAATTGAGGAAAAAAAATTCTGCCTTAATAAGCAAGATTTTGAAAAGGTCTTAGAAGTGTACTCCTCATTAATTCATGAGTAGAATATACAGCTGAAGTGCTAAATAGGTCAGCTGAAAGTAGCCTATTCTGCTGAAGTTATTTACTAATTAATTATGCCTGAAATAATAATTACTGCAGTGAATGGTCACTTGAGACTGTTTTGTATAAACAAGCTAGCTAAACAAACTTAATTACCTTTTAGCTATTCAAAATAGCTTTTCATAGTGTGACCTAAATACTTTTTTATTTTATGTACATTTCATACTTCATAGAAAAGGTTGGACAAAAATATAAAAGTCAATGTTCATAATCCCCTTGTAAGGGAAAAGAATTTTTTAGAAGGAACATGTTCTGTCAAAAAATTATTCACAAACATGCCTTCTGGAGTAACTTCTGGTGACAGGGAAACATTTGTAGAACAGCAGACAAATTCAATTTAAGCAGCTTTAATAGGAACATGAATTTACCACAAGCCCTGTCCCCCCAGCCTCGCCACTGAAAGGCACTGTGAGCTTGAAGAGTCATATGAGAAAATTATTTTCTTCTCCTTAAAACACCTTACATAATAAAAAATTCCAACAAACAAAATAACAGGAGACAAGACAAGCAACAAAGGTCACGACTATTGCATAACCTTCTCATGCCCCTATCTGCCATTTATTCCATAGGGAAATCCTACTGATTTTAAGTAACAATTAGAAGAATTTAACCTCTCCTATATCCCCATCAGGCACCTCTAATTGTCCTTAGCACAGCAGCTCAGGATCCCTCCCTGCAGCTGAGGGAGCTGATGAAAAATGCCAGACTGCAAAGGCTGGAGCTTCGGAGCTGGAGTCAGCCTGTGACTGAGGGCTGGCTCTGTGCTGCACATGCCTTTCCTCCAGGCAGGGGAAAGGGAAGGACAACCCATCCCTGCTGTGGACAGGAACAGAACTGCCAAGAATGATTCACTGTCAGTGCAAAGATCTCCCAAGGCCTAAAGCAACTTCCAGAAATTAATGAACTGACAAGGGAAAAAAAAAAAAAAATCTTTTTGTTTGTTTAAATGATCAAGCTTCATTTTTTTGGGCAGAAAATAATGAAGCCCACTGAATTATCAGAAAACCAGAAGTAAAACCCCTTTTTAGCAGGTATTCCCAAGTAAAACATCAATGACAGAATAATTAACAACAACACAATAATTGACACAACAATAACCTGCTAAGCTGATCTACTTAAAAATGAAAGCAACTTCCTACTTATGAAATTTTAAGATGTCAATTCTGTGCTTCCAAAAATCAATTTGAAGCCATTTTTCTAGTAGTTGTACTTTAGACAAATAAAACCAGTACCCTTTCCTGCCTTTCTCCCAAATCCTTTGGGTTAAAAGTTTCCCTCCTCTCACGCTAATATTCCCAACCCGTGCTGGGAGGGGGAAAAATTCATGCTTGGAAGCATGTTTCAGCAAACTTGAGCTCCTTGAGCACCACTGCTCAGCAATCCATTCTTTAGGCAAAATGTAAAGTGGATCTACAGGCTGAGCAGTGATTCAGAACTGACATG